GGGGGCGTCCCTGGACAGGTTTCAGGAGTCGAACTCCACGTACCACTGGAGCCCCTCTGCAGAGAGAAGCGGGGGGCTCGGCGCCAGGGCTGGGTCGGGGGCATCCCTGGATGGGGTTGGGGGGCTGAGCTCCACGTCCCCCTGGGGTACCTCCACGGGCTGGAGCAGGGGGCTCAGCTCCAAACCCCTTTCCAGTGATGAGAGCAGGGATCTGAAGTCCAGGAGCCATTGGGGTATCTCGGAAGGAGGGATTGGGGGGCAGAGCTCCCGAGCTCATTGGGAGACAGCAGGGGAAAGGAAGGGGCTCTCCAGCAGCCCATGGAGGCGGGAAAGAGAGGTGACTCACTTGGGCACCTCGGCAGGAACTGGGGGGTGGAGGCACCCCTGGACTTGGCTTCCAGTGTTCGGAAGGAGGCGGACAGGGAGCTGAACCCCAGCAGCTGGGGACGGGGATTGATCCGGCGATTCCCGTGGAGGGCTGCGAGCGATGCAGGGTCGGCCTCGGGGAACTGGTGGGAAGCGTCCGGAGCGGGACAGGGAGTAACATCCCGCCCTCACTTGTTGCGGTCAGCCCCAAAGCAGCAGGGAGGAGGAAAGAGCAAAGGCGTCGAATACTACCTCTCCCAGTTCCTTTGCCTTGCCAGCTTTGTGCTGCTCCTGGTTTTTCTGGGCATCCTGGTGGTGAAGATGATTGGGTCAGGCTGGCTTGACAGGAGAGAGGAGAATTGTACGTGCACTGGTTTCACCCTGTTTTTAAACTTTATTCCTCACCTTTCTTTTCTGCTTTCCCTTTATTGACTTCCATCACGTGTAACATTCTCATTGCTGTAACTTGACATCCCTGCTTCTGTCCCTATTTCCATCTCCCCTTGCTCATGGGAAACCCTGTTAATCATGGAAAGTAAGTCAAGTGTGTGCTTTTTTTTAAATGAGTTTGGTCTTCGGTTCTTCAGAACCGTGGGCTTTATGGAGAGTGACGTTCCTGCTAGGGCAAGGATGTGTTTTATGATTGTCCGCTGTGTAACATAGTGCCTGCATGATTGCCCGTTGTGCGTTTTTAATGTTGGCCACTGCAAAGCTCAGCTCTTCGTGGCCTCATCCTGGCCACGTGAGAAGTCGAATTGGCACTTTGGCACTTCAAGTGTGGCAGAGCTTCAATGAGAAATGAAAAGGGGCTTCCCCGTCACCTGGATTTTGAAGCAGAGTTTCCCAGCCAGAGCAGATGGAAATACTGTCACTTGATGGCTTTGAACTGAAAGAAGAAGGGGGTTGGGGTGTGGTTGGGAAGGTGCGAGTCCTGAAACTCGGCACGTTGTGCCTGTAGGGGTGTGTGTGCTTTGCATGGGCTGGGAAAGCTGTTTCCTGCTTCCCCAAAGTCAGAATAAAACTCTCCAGTGTCATTGAATTCCTGAGGCACCCTTTACAACTTTTTTAGATATTTCAAACTAATGGTATTTTGAGGCAAGAAGTCTTGCAGCGCTGCTGCAAATACTTTAAATTCTGGGTAGTTAAGATTGCTAGAAAGTACTGCATGGTGGACCGGTGTATATCCAGTTGTCAGGGCGGGAGAGAGATGCTAAACCAGCGGCCATAAGCTGCAGAGCTAACAGCTGCAACTAAAATAAATCCTCTGCTTTTGCCTTGAGGAGGCTTGATTTAAATCCCTGTTATCACCTTGATATTCCAGGTGACCGTGGTGTGCAGCAAACGGCATTGCTAGATTGTAAAATATCAGCGTGAAGCATGGATAGTAAAGGAGCCTGAAGCAACTACCTAAACAAGAGCTGTTAAAACATTCAGACCCCAGTTCTTTCTTTCCAGCTGAACGGGGTTCCTGATTTGCACCAGGTTTATTTGTTTCACTTTCAGTGCCAAAGCAGTGTGCTTTGAATGCACTATTGGCATAGCAAGGTACCGTGCAGAGTGAGATTAAGAATAGGCTTTAAAAGTAGAGCTTTCTTTTAAAAAGATAATTACTTTCTTGATCAAAGCTCTTGTTTTGCAGCCAGCTAACTCGCCCTACTCTTCTCTCTCATAGTTAATCTCCTGCCTATGGATTGTGACAAAAGAACGGATGATGTAAGCATATATTTATTTATCTTCAAGTATTGTGGATAGGGGATTCTCACAGAAGGGTAATTATTCTAGGTATCTTCCAGCAATATCAGCATCACTGTAAAATTATCAGTTCTGTTGTTCTACGGGAAAATTGTGACTCGATGGGTTGGAATTAATGGGCCAGATTAAATTAGAACTGTATATGAGACTCTGAAAGATAAAAATTTAAATTCCCAGTGATGTGAATCAATTTCTGTAATAGTTGTAACAGAAGTGGTATTGGTTTGCAATAAAGCTGTGTTCAGCTCTAACAATGCAAGATTTAATCCAGCTAATTCCTTGAACTCCATCATAAAGTGTTTGTACAGCCCTGTTTCTTTTATCCTAATTTATTATGAGGAGAGAGGAAATTTCGTGTTGGATTCAGAGTAACGGTTAGTCTCCTGTGATGTTCTGGAGACAAAGAATCCATCTGTGGTCAGTCAGGTGGGATGTCTGCTGGTGCAGTCTGGGCTGGGAGAGTTGGTGGCACGTTCAGAGGATGTCCTAGCTCAGTTTTGACTCAGAAACTGTAAATCTTTGCTGCAAGTGTGTTTAATTTGAGCTAGTGGTGCATGACGGAGCCAAACCCCACTGGTGGTATTTCATTTTGATATTTTTAGCTGGTCTGATCACTGTTCTGTTGCTGCTGGTGTATTCATGTTCGATACCTGTTTTTGACTTTCAGTTCTGTCAAGCTAAACAGAAGGACGTAATAATGAACGTGCTGCACGAGTTGTATAACTACTTGTCCGTACAAGCTGGTAAGTTCCAATCGTCATTATAAAGCACTTATGAGCATTCAGCAAACTGCCTCTCCCAGCTGTCTGGACATTTTTAACCTCAGTTTGAAGAGAGGGGTTTATGGAACAGTCAGTTCCACTTGAAGAGCTCTGAGAAAGTCAGGTAATAGCAAAATAGAAAAAGATGTGTTTATTTTTATTCTGAATAGTGCTTAGCTGATGCACTCATATCACTGTGCTCTTGTGGAGTGGTCCTTATTTGCACTTGATATATTGGGAATTTGAGGTAGAAATATTCAGCTTTATGGTTCTTTTCTACCAGCATCTTGAAATTGTCTTCAAGACACTCAGAGCCAGTAAACATAAGCTGATGTGTTCTTACAAATAAACTTAAAGCGACTTAAGAAATTGCAGCTCTTTGCTGAAATGTGACAGCTGATTATGTGAGTGCCTCTTTTTTTTTTTTTTTTTTTTTTTTTCTCGGTGCGAGGTAAGACAGGCTCTCTTAGCTGAAGAGCTAACTGAGCACCGTAGTTCTGCCAGCCCCTACTATATATGAGGAAATCCGGTCTATAACTAGTACTTTGTGATGGAGAAGGCTGCTAGAAATTCAGTGGATGAGTAAAAACTTGTTCAGCAAGGTGTATAATAACCAATAAAAGCACTTAAGTTCCAGATTCTAGATTTTAGACCTCAATAAGGCTGAATCCTTTAGATACTTAAGCTGTGCAGAAATTCTAAATCTTTTCGAATTAAACTTCAACACCTGTGAAATTTCCACCAGTTTCACATAGTCTCTTAGTTTAGTCAACTTTGGGAAGCTAGATTTAGAAGATTTAGCTCCTCACCAGTATTTCCTTGCCTGGGTAGAAGGCAGAGCTGTGATTTAGGCTCCTTAGAAGCATTTTGAACGCTGAGCCTTAACTCCAGCACCGCAGTCTTTGATACCGGGCGGAAGGAGCTCCTCTGCAAGGCATTAGGTCAGAGAGGTGGTGATGTACTCTGCAGGGGGAGAAACAGTATTTTTTGCCACCCTTCATTCTTCGTTGAGTGGCTCGTACGCTGAAGCGTGAGGTTTGATTGCCCTTATCCAACCTATGTGCAGTGGCTGAGCATTTTATTAATAGTCATAATCTTATCTGCCTGCTGGATAAATCTTACCTTGTAATCATTTTGCCCAGAGCTGTAGCTGATTTTGAAGGATAGCCTTTGCAGATGGTTCAGTGTATTTCTGAACTGTTAGAGGGCTTTTTTTTCAGCACCTTATTTCTACTTTACTTTTTTTTACCAGGTAATTTCGAATGCGGAAACCCTGAGAATCTAAAAAGCAAATGCGTTTGGGTTAGTGAGGCGAAGGATCACGTGGTGGTGAGTAGGCTGTGAACAGCTATTGTTGTAACGTAGTGCTTAGTCTCTTACAAGGCAATAAATAATAGATACTAAAGCGATTCGCCATCTGTTTTACTTCCTCATCCTGTTTTGATTCTTTCCCATATCTCTAGCTTCCCCTTTGGCCAGTTCTGTTCTCAGCAGTTCTTTTGAAAATAATCTTCTCCTACATCTCTGATTCAGCCCCTGTAAATCTAACTTAATGGTTTGTTGTTTCACCATAGTCATCAGTCTTCTGAAACCAGAAATTTCCCTGGATTGAGGGCTGGGCAGAAGAAGGATTTTTCTATACCCCAAAGTGTCAGAAGACAGACTGCTTTGATCTAGCGTTCCATTTCTTTCATGGTAAACTGTCAGTAAGATTATGTTGTATTTAGTGGTTAGTCTTAACAGTCTGGGATAGTGTTATTTTACAGAGTGCTTCATGCATCAGCTCCTGTAGTCGGAAGACTTGAGTCCAGACAGACCTTCAGATTTAGTTCTCCTTCCTCCAGCTTGCAGAATTATGATTAGAATTAACCCAGGGACAGACCGTACAAAATGAATTCTCCCTCTACTGTAGTGAAATAATGTTACTGATTATTTTAAATGAATGGAGAACTAATCATCTTATGGATTCTTCTGAACAGAATATAACGGGTAGTTCTCCACAGAAGTTTGAAGCTGCCCTGCACTGGATACTAAACAGTAACAAGGACTTAGGAATATGGTAAGTGGAAGCCCACTCTTGTCAAAGTTATGTTTCTTGGTGTTGGCTGATAGATAATTTGACATCCTCTGTGGTGTGCCCTAAAAGCTCCCGTACCTCATTACATTTCAGAAGATAATCTGGAATTGGCTTTGTCAGTGCTTGCTAGGCAAGCTTCCAAATGAAAAGTGCAGCCCCGCAGCAAAAATTGGCAACTGAGCTCATTCCTTGGGAGTCTGTTTCTCAGCCTTTGCCCTGGGGGACATTGCGTTCATGAACGCGCTGTCTTGCAGATGAGGCGTAAGTCTGAGGTCAGGGCTGTCAACGGTTGTGTTGTGCTTCCTGCAAGGTTTAGGAGTGGTGGTCCTGGTGCCCTGCCTGCGGTCCTGTGACTACAGCACGTTTCTTAAGCTTGCCCATACAGTCACTTTTCCCAAGATAACGTCTCTTCGTTACTGTTACTGGAGACAGAGCTTTGGTATTGTGTGGAACCACATCCTTTGACCAAAGGGTTTATTGGACAGCAAAGCACTCTCTTCACCACCCAGCTTTGGGATCCTTTGGAGCAAGTCCCGATGAGGAGGAGAGGAAAATGAATTGTTGAGTGGTATCTTTTCTTTAGTGTCAGTTGTGTTTCTGGCAGAACGCACGGCACGTGTTAAAATGGACTCGGTAGGATGTTGGTCAGTCATCGGTGGGGCTTTTTTCTCTTGGGTTTCTCAGCTAGCAGTCTCTTCAGTACATGAGAAATAACAGAAATACTAGTTTTTTGGGGTAAAAAAAATACAACACAACCACAAGCTAATGAAAGACTGTTATCCAGAGTCCACAGACATCGTTATCTTCCTCTGGGAAGTGTGGGCTGCCTCCAGTCAGTGTTAACTCTGAAGTCTTAACGTTTGTTTGCATTTTAACATTGCTAAATGTATCTCTGATTAAATAAATTGGAACAGTAGTAACACTGGAGTTGGTGGGCATAGCCTGCATGAATTCCCACTGCTCCATTTTTCTGTAAAAAATTTCTGCAGCTGCTGCTGTGATCTAAGCATCAGTGTCTGCTGCTTTGATTATTGGTGTGTGGCAAATTCCCAGGACAGGACATAGTTTCCTTAGTGGCAGGTTTGGATTTGTAGGTGGGCTGGGATCCAGAGTTCTCAAATTTGTATATTTTTATGCAGGAGTACTGCTCATGTCAGGAGCCATGTGATACAATATACTCCCATTTTTTTATTTTCATAATTAGCAACTCTGCCAGAGGTTCTCCGAACGGATCCACTTCCACAAAGTCTGCCTCGTGTGCAGAATGAGCGTTCAGCACGCTTAAAAACCTGCGGGTGGCATCTTTAGCAAACACTGTGTGAGATTATTCTTCTAGGTGCTAGTCTGAGAGGCAGAACTGAAAATGAGCTCTGCACTGGGTGATTCTGCTGCATATTTTAAATATTTTCATGGAATTTGGATTGTAAATAAGACAAGGGGGTGGGAAACAACTGTGTGTCTCCAGCTACTGTAGAATCTGCAAACCAAATACAAGCTGTCAGCAGTTTGAGAGCTGTGTACTAGTAAATTGAGAAAATGTCTTTGTCTAATAGGTTATTCGTCGCAAACCTAGAATGAGTTAGTAGCTTAAAAAAAAATAAAAACCCCGTTAGTCCAACTCCTCTGAATGTGATGGCTCACTTGGATTGCGTGGTGCCTGTTGGCTGAGAGGATGGAACGAGGAAACGGTGTCCGTGTGGATCCGTGCACAAGGAAGTGAGTTAGCACAGCGGGTGTGCAGGAGGGATTTTGCAGGATGCGTTATGGATTTTGCCGTGAGGGTGTGCCCGTGTCTCGCTGCAGATGCAGTTGATGCGCTGTCACTTTTCTGGCCAAACTGTTGATGCTCATCTGTACCGAGGAGAGCAGCACAACCTCCACGGACACTCGCAGTCCCTGCTCTCTCTGCAATTGCTGACGAGCGACTCAGTAAACATTTCCATTTCTCTGTGCTGGGAGGTGGGAATCCAATTTAAAGTTTAATCTTCTGCACGCTGAGAGGTGCTGTCAAAGAGTCTGCAGAGGGAGACTTCAGTTTACCAGTGGGAGTTCCAGCCCTGCTGCCTTTTCTAAAGCCATATCCATTCCTTGCTAAGCAGCCAGTCCCAAAATGTTCTGGAAAGAGGAGCTGCAAGGATTTTGGTGTATATTCTATGTGATGTACGGAACGCTTACTGCATCTGCAGTCTGTTTGTTCTCCCTGTCTTGATTAAAGACTGCAATTGGAGTGTCTGCTCTCTTCAGTGAAGATTTTCTGCCTCTTTCCATCAGGTTGAAAGGCAGAGACCTTTCGGAACCAGTTACCAAAGTGGAGGAAGTGTTCTGTCTCGAATCGGCCCATCCACCCTGCCGTTTCCGTCGGGCAGTGGTCACTGCCATTATGAACCTTTTCCTGTTTTTCTGGAGTAAGTCGTTGGTGTTAGCAGTCAGCTTCTCCCCTTGCCAGCTGTAGAGAAGAACTTGTGTATGCACACACATTCTCCCAGCCATATGAAATTACTAACAGAGGTGAAATAAATCTGCTGATGAGTTAATTTCTAATTAACCTTTGTTCTGGCAGCAGAGGGAGACCTGCAGACCTGCTCTTGTGCTGTGAGTGCTTAACACTTTAAATCAGCAAGCTGATTAGCTCTCCGGGTATTCCTCAAGTACCCATTACTTTGGTCTGCAAAATAAGTATGTTAACCTACCTAAAAGATTCGGTTTTTTTCCTTTCTTTTCTTGCACTAAGCTGCAAAGTCTTCTAGCCTCCTTAATAATGACTTGTAGCATTTTGGGTGTTAGAGGTTTTATTGGAATAGTCTGTCATGCCCCAGCTGAGACAGAGGTCTTACTGAGCGAGGTGATAACGAGAGATGTGTGCTGACTAGAAGAGTTTATAATCTAGCCAGACAAGGTGGGGGGTGAAAGGGGATAGTTATGTTTATTGTAGAGACTGAGATACTAAAGTTAGCTCATGTCGTAACGGGGGCATTTGTCAATGCTAAACCTTCAATATAGATCTCCTGAATTTTGGGCTGGTGCTGGAGCCCCAGGCTTTATTTCCTTATCAAGCAGCTATCTTCGGAGCAGTGGAGCTTGACAGTCCTCCTAAGTGATTGTTGAGGGGGAGGCCTCTAGCAAAGAGATAGCTCTGGGACTTGGAGAATTGAAGCCCTGTGGTTGTGCTGAGGTTTCTGGTGTGAGAGGGAAAAAAACCTCTGTGATGAGGCCTTCTGACCACCTCTTCCCACATCCACGCGTGCTCTTCTGCTGCTGGTGTTGTCAGTACCAAGGGTTTTGCAGGGCACAGCTGCGCTGGGGAGCAAAATGAATTGCTTGGATTCAGTTCCAAGCAGGCCTGGGTAGCAGGGAGTGAAAGCTGCCTCTAGGGTAAGGCAGTGTCAGAAATAAAACTGCTAGCATCCAGCAAGTATGTGTCTGTCGGTTATTGAATTCTGTTTGTTTTTATTCTTCTAGGTCTGATAACTCTTTGGGGGATCCTGATCTTCCTTAGGTATCGCTGGCGGAAGATGGAGGAAGAGGAGCAAGCCATGTATGAAATGGTGAAGAAAATCATAGGTATAATCCAGTAGCTGTGTAAGTGCAAGCAGCCCTGTTCTTCTCTCTGCAATGTCGAGGTCTCTCACCATTCTGTCCTCCTGCCCTCCAGCTGTTGTCCAGGACCACTATAAGGAATGGGAACGGAACTTGGAACGTTACCCCTACGTCGGCATTTTCCACGTTCGGGACAGCCTCATCCCTCCTCAGAGCAGGTGAGCTGGATTTTATTCATTAAGGAGGGCTGTCAGCAGCACGTTATCCAGCTCAGCTGAAAACCTCCGTTACGGGGCGACAGAGCATGAGCAGAGAATTGATGGGAAGCTGGACTGCAAGAGGAGTCTGTCTGGCCTTTCAGTTTCTAAAGGATTTTGACATCACTCAGGCTATGTCTTAACCTGCTGCAGATTAATGTGGCAGTCCTGGGGCTGATATTTCGTGCAGTCACACAGGTGTATTGTCATTGTTCTGTCAAACCATAATTGGATTTTGTTTTGCTTAGGCATGGAGCAGCTGATTTTCTCTCTTTCATCTAATGTGTGTAGAACGCTCTCTGCTTTCTCAGCCGTCGTGCCTTATTCTCCAGACAGGTGCTGTGCTTTTCCGAACAAACCTTCCCATCAGTTGAACAGGATGTTGGGAGGCTCTTCTGAAGTGGTTGTGTATGTTGCTGCCTGGGAATTTACCAGTTGGAGTTGGGCAGCTTTGAAAGTTTTAGGGAAATGGCTGGTTTTGGTGCTTTTTAGAAAAGCAAGCGTGGTCGAAAGAGTTGCTCTGTGGGTGGTGGGGCCAGGGGGCTGCAGCCTGGTTCTCACTGGTTTATGTGCCACTTGCTCTACCTCTGCAAGACTGTTTTTTGTGTTTTGATTAAATGAAGCTACTTTGTTCTCCTGACGGCGCAGAATGCTGCGTGTGCTGCAAAGTCTTAAATATCCTCACTGTATCAGGCACAAACTCTTTCTTCCTACTAGTGGTGATTTCATTTGTTTTGAACTGATCTCTGTGTGGTACCCAGAATTACTAGACACGGATTCAAACCTGGGGTGAACTCCAGTTTGTCCTCCCTGGTCTGAGATGTCTGCATGCAGGAAGGATGAGGGCAGTTTGTTAATCGAGTCCCTTCGCAATACAAATTGAGCTTGAAATTCAGGGCAGTCATCAATTACTGATCCTGACAGAGGGTCTCGTCTTCTCCCCTAGGCAGGACCTGTGGTGTTACATCCTGGTCTGAAATTGCCTCTAAACCAGAATTCTGGTTTAATCTCCTTTACTGTCTGCACAGGGAACAGGAGGCAGCTAGCAGTAGCTTGATCAGCAGCCACAATTGCTGTAAGCAGGAAAGCACAGTGAGGGTATGATTCTAATTTATTTTCTTTTTGTTGCCGTTCCTTGAAGAAAAAAAATGAAGCGGGTCTGGGAGAGAGCTGTGGACTTTCTGGCTTCAAATGAGTCACGGATTCAGACAGAGTCGCACAGAGTAGCAGGAGAAGATATGCTTGTGTGGAGATGGACTCAGCCTTCGTACGTCTCGGATTCAGAGCACTGAAGAGGAGCAGAAGTTGAGCAGCTGTTGATATGGACCTCTGCAAGGGGACAGTCCCTTCTCTGATGGTGGGAAAGAGCAGGTCACGGTCCTAATCTCCTAAGGTTGGGGATTGCATGTATCTGTTTGCTCTTCTTTCTGAAATCTTCACACACAAAAATTCAGGGCAATAATGTTGGCTTGGAAAGAAGATGGTCTTGAGCTGGTGGGAAGCTAGAATTGCACCAAAGTTAGCCTTCCAGCAGGTATCTGGCTTCCGTAGGCAAGCAAACCTGGAACAACTCTTTAAAAAGAAAAATGCCTATCTAATATTGAGGGACTTAGGATCTCTCTGAGAAAGGTTAGGTATTTTAAGATTTGACCTCAATTCTGCAAAGGCCAACTGGTGGCAATGTCCATCAGGGAATGTGTTTAAAGAAGATTAACATTTCCCATGGAAACATTAGGGTGGCAGTTAAGATGCATTTTGTTAGAATTTGTTTTTATCAGCACAAAGACAGTGATGAAAGCACTTGCTGCTTCCTAACGAGGAAAATGTTTGTGTCGGCTTCACCCTTTAAAAATGGGGAAAAGAGGGAAAGACAGATGAAAGTAGCCCTAGAGGGAGGGCAGTCTGACGTGCCTTGGTGGTCTGGGCTGGGTTGGGTGGGATGGAAGAGTGGTTATGACCCTGTTACACTTTTTAAGTCTGCAGTCTGTGTGCTTCATGATTTCTGGGGGGTGGGGGGGAATTTGGGTGGAAAATAAAGGATCTAGAAGCTTTGAAAGCGCTTTCTTGTGGCTGCAGCCAAAGGGACTGCTTCGTGGGCTATTAAAGAGCAGCTTTGGAAAGGCTTTTGGGGCTGAATGTACATGTTTATCCTGGGCAGCTGCAATGTGTGTGCCGTGTGTCAGAGCAAGATGTACCATGCGTGGAGTGTCAGCACAGGGATTGCCAAGTCAGTGTTCCCGCAGCCTCATGACAGCTACAAGGAGCAGGGATCAATCCTCTGTTGGCACTGCAGGCATCATATGTTGTGTCTCTCATTGTTTGGTTACTTTATTTTCTTTTTATGTCCAGCAAACGTGTGTTTGTTTCAAAGAAAATAGCACCAGTGTGTGGCAGTTTAGGCTAAGCAGAGATATTGCTAATCTGCTCTTCCCAATGTTGTAAAACAGCTGCCCAGCTCACCACTAAGACAGCAGGGGCCAAATTAATTTCTGGCATAAACTGGTAAAACCTGCAGCGAGAAGCCGGTGTGGATTTGAACCTGTGTAACCAGTAGATGTTCTCCTTAGCATCATGGGTAGAGTGTGGATGCTTGCGTTCATCTCTGCCGCTGGATGCACGGAGAGCTTCCTCTCCAGGCTCTGGGTTGGCTTAGGACAGCTGCCGAAGCCCTGCTCCCCGCTTTGCAGGCTGGTGATGCCACCTGCAAGGTGGGCTCCTTGTGCCAGTCCCTGCTCACCTCCCAGCATGGAGTCTGCACTTCTCTGCCCCACTGCTGGCTTTGGTGGGGTTCCACCTGTGCACCCCGCAGGCTGCTGCAGAAGGACTGCGGAGACTTACGTACCTCTGGCTGGTGGTCAACCAAAACCAGCGGAGGGAGCAGGTTTCTCCAGGAACAAAACACAGGGAGGTCCTTCCCATTAAATGGGAAATACCCTGTGTAGAGTTGATTCTAAACCTGTATTTTTGTTCTGGTTGCCAAGGTAAGGTGTTTGAACAGAAGAGGAGACTCAACAGCTCTCTTCAAGACAATGACCAGCTTCTTCCACTGTTAATAAAGCAGGAGATAAAATGAAAGCAGCCTTAGTTCTTCTAAAATGTTGCAGCAAGATCATCACTGCTGCCGTAGGAATTTTTGCAAACACTGGTGCCTACGTTCTTAAGTCTTTTTAAAATATTTGTGGGGTTTGGGTTAGCCTTTTTTAACCGTCCAAATCCAGAAGTGAGGAGTCACGCATTGCAGTCATCTTTTTGTATTTAACTTGTTTTTGTAGAATAATTTTCACTAGCTTGGTGCTGTTTAATGCTGAATTTAGCCTATGTAAATCAATATATAAAATAAATTTATTACAAATAATTTGTTACCTTTATTTTTATTGAGGAGTCACAGATTGTTCCAAGTGCTTGTGCTCAGGCAGATCAAATAGATCCTGCTCCGGGGAGCTTGTGGTTTCCAAGAATAAGACTGAAGATGGCACGGGGATTGTATGACAGCCTAATGAGACAACGTGGATCCTTGTGACGGTCGGTGGTCTCGGCGCAATAGCCAGCACTCTCAAGTGTTTGGGTGTAAATTAAATGTGTGTTTTGGGAATAGCTGGCATTAAGCAGAGGGGTGTATGAAAAGCAGTTGGCTTGTTTGGCTGCGTTTTGTAGAGATTGACAGCTTGGAGGGTTGTGAAACTGTTAACTATTTAGCAGGTTGATGGGTGTTCCTGTGGCCTGTAATAAAACAGTTATTTAAAGCAAGGAATGGGATGGTGCAATAAGTCTGTGGAATTGAGTGAGGGTGCCTCAAGCTTCATGTGTTTTCCACTTGTTCTCTGGAAGGCAGATCCCTGCACGTTGCGTGTCTGAAGTCAACAGCTGCTGCAGAAGATCTTGAGTCTGGTCTGAGCTGCTGATCCTGTGTGTTGTGGCAACCTCAGGCCGTGGTTAGCTCGCCTGTTTTTTGGGACGTGATGTGAAGTGCCAGGTGATTGTATAGGAAGACTGGGGAGTGGTGAGGGAAGTGTTGGATACAGCACTGGAGTGGGATGGATGTCCCTGCCTGCCCTTGCTCCCAGGCTGTTGCTGGTCGCTGGATGTATCGCCTCCCTCCTTGTGTAACGGGTCAGTATGCTTTAAGCAAGGCTACTACAAAGCACTGTAAAAGGGGGGGGATGTTTATGTCAAGGAAAAAGGCAAAAAGTCAAATCTTAGACTATTTACCAGATCCCCGAGGTTTCCAAGGTTGCCTGGTGAGTAGAAGACACATAAGCGTGTCGTGCTGGCAAGGGAGTAGTCTTTAGGGTCCATTTCCCTGAGTGTTTTCGGTTCCTCTCTCACCTGGGTGTCAGTGACTCAGAACATGTGCTACCACGAGTTGCACCTTGTTTCTGGAGTAGCGTGAAGGGCACGAGTAGTCCATGAATCATCATTGTGTAACTTCTGTGAACGTGGTTGACTCACTCGTGTTTGGTTAGAGAAATGTTTAATTAATCTCATAATGAAGGTCTGGATGGCAAAGGGGGAGGCTTCCACTGGCGCAGAGGGAGGTTGGCTCCGTGGTGGCCACGGGAGTCGGTGGGAGCTGGCTGCCTCCTCTGCCGTTGAGTTGTTGCTAAAGTATGGGAACAAAAGGGAATGCAAAGCTTAATCTCTCCTCCAAACCTGCATTCCTGTTCAGATGCTTTTACCCAGTTTAGGTTGCTAAGTTACAGCTGAAATATATTCAAGGTTAGGAAATAGTCTTCAGTTTGGTGTAATTACATGTGCTGGAGGATGTTTGCTTTCAGCCACGCTGCCATGATGGTTTCTGTGATAGCCTTCCCCCCGTGTCCCTTCTTTCATTTGCTGTCTCGAGAGCAGAGCAGACCGGTTTCATGCCGCACTCGCTGCACAAACCCTATTGATCATTTCTGTGGTTCCAGCAGTTTTCCCAGAACCCTAGGCCCGCTCAAAGAAGAGGGAATAGCTGTGTTCTTCATCCCCCTGCCCTGTTCTCACAACTTGCATATGCTCAGCCACGGTTGCCAACATCCCCTTCCCACTTTCTTGCAAAGTATTAAGTTTCTATAAATAAATTCTCCAACGGTGGGCTGATAAAGCCATCGCATCCCCTGACTGTCAGAAAGGAAAATATGTACCAACAAGGAATCTAAAATAAAATTTGCCCTTTATCTTTTCATTTCCTGCTTCCATGTAAAGCCTTTCACATTAAATGTTTTGTCTCCTGCTGACATGACAGCTGATGCTGTGCCTTATTTATGGGGTGCAGAGTCAGGGCGCTGTGCCAGTTCTCCTGGAAAGATCAACGTGAACCGGAGAAGAAAAAGCACGGCCAGCGAGTCCTGCCCGAAGGTGCCTCCCTCCGGCACGGCCCCTGTCCAAAGCAATCACTCCCCAGCGCCTCCCCCGGGATTTCTGCCGTGACTTCATTCAACCTTTCAAGAACGGCCTCCAGGTAGGTGTTGCAAAAGGTTTTTTGTACACATGAATGAACAGACCCTGGCTACGGCAGAGAGCGAGGTGGGAGTCCTGTCCCACCTCCCGACCCCTCGGGGGGCTGCTGGCAGCCGCGGAGCAGACTCTGACGTGGGGACCAGACCTCTGCGCTGACCTCGAAGTAGCACGTTAGTTTTGTAGTGGTGCTGCTGGTCAGGTCTGGTGCAAAGCCCATGGGTGTCTTTGAATTGGCTCTCCAAGATGAAGAGACCTTCCTTGGGCTGTGGAAGCCTTGCTTGGCTTCGAGCTCATCTTGCCCAGGAGCAGAGTTGTGGGTTCTGCACCAAGGAGCACGCCGTGCTCCCTCTTCCCAGGCTCCTGGCAGAGCAGCAGCTCCCCAGGGAGGTGCTCTCAGGTGGCAGGAGGACACCGGAGCCTCTGCTGATGTCCCGTCTGACAGAGCAGACCGCCTGCCCTGTGCCACTTCGCAGTGACCTGCTGTAGGGCCAGACTTGGTGTTTACACCACGGCCCCAAAACAGCTCCGGCATCCAAACAGCAACAGCAGAGGAAAACACCCCAGGGTGGCCAGGAGCTGCTGGCCAGGAGCTGGGAGCAGGGCTGGGCTCGTGGGGTGCAGCTGAGCCACTTCCATGTGAAACAGCTCAGAAATGGGTCCCAGGGGTGTCCCTGTGCCCTCTCCGGGAGAGCAGCTCCTGTTTTTCTCCCAGCCAGGGTCCCAAAGGTGCCACCAGCAGCAAGGACACCTGGACAAGGGGTTGATGTGCATTTGTCAGGCAGTGGGTGAGGCTCCAGCACCCACCAGCAGCACGAAGGGCATTTCCAACTCCCAGGACTGGCTCAGGGTGGGGGAATGACCCAGCCTGGCTGCCTGGCCTGGGGGGGCTGCCTGGCATCACCGTGCCACGGCTGTGGCTCCCGTCTGACACCGCTGTCTGTCCGGGGGGAGGGTGGAGAATAAAACAATAGCAGAGACTTAAGGATGGTCCAAAGCCTTTGGAGGTAGAAAGGGGAAAAACCTGCCCTGTTGATGTCTGTGCAGGAGGGGAAAGGATGGATGCAGCATGACAGGGTCGGTGTCAGCTCCCTGCATGTCCTCGGTGGTTTTTGATGGTTTTCTTTAATGTCCAAGGCAATCTCAGT